AGCCCCAAAATTATTTATTTATTTATTTATTTTTATTACATTTATTCATTGTGTGTGTGTGTGTGTGTGTGGCCAGCTCAGCTCACCAGGGGGCGGGGCTGGCTGGCATGTGGCGCTGGGGGATCGAACCGCGGTCCCTGTGCTTTGCCAAGCTTGTTTCAAGTAGGTGCTTTAGACCACTGAGCCATCTCTCCAGCCCCAGCCTGGACAATTTAGCAAGACTCCACTTCAAAATAAAATGGACCAGGGATGTAGCTCTGTAGTAGAGCACCCTGGATTCAATTCCTGGTATTGAAAAGGACCAGGCTCCTGCTTTTACCCAAAAAAAAAAAAAAAAAAAAAAAGGACAGATTATCTTAAACTAGAATAAGCTTGAAGACAGTGCAGTGGTACGACTGTCTCTGTTACAAAGAAAAGTTTATTTCTTGTCAACTGAAGTAACAAAAGTAATTGTCAGTGCAAAGTCTGATTCATCCCCTCAGTATTTACTGAGCTCCTCCCGTGCACCAGGCGCTGGGGATATGGCAGTAAAAATAACTAAGTCCCTGTCTCTTGGAGTGTTTTATTCTAGTGGAGGAGGTAGATCATAAACAAATAAAATATAGTTTGCCTGCCATACTGTGCTGTAATAAGGGGGAGCCCGGGTGATTTATGGAAGGTGGGGGGTATTTTCTGAGGGTGGTCAAGCGCAGGCTGCTGAGGAAGGGACCTTTGATCAGAGAACTGCAGAAGTATACGGTTCTGAGGGATAATTCCAAGCTGCATAAAAATTACAAATGCCTGCCAAATAAATAATTCTGCATACATACATATATACATACATAATGTTCATAAAACAAACTGGGACTAGAAGAATAATAAATTGTATATAAGTAGTTGGTGGGAATTTTTGAACAATCCAATTAACAAATGATTTAAGAACAGGAACAGGAATAGAAAATTTATTCCAGAAGACAAAGTCTTGCAGAAGGATCAACCTCATTAATAATAATGAAATATAAGATAAACACTCACCAGTCAGCTTTTCCCTGGATGTCTGCAGTGTCTGCCCCTGTGAGTTGTGAGGAGTTTTCTGCAGAGTGACTTAGGACATATATATCACAGAATAACTGAATGTAGCTTGTTTAAAAACAAAAACAAAAACAAAAACAAAAAAACTAGTATGCCTAGTTAATTTTTTTTTTTTTTTT